GTCAACTTTAGAGTAGCTAAGCCCCCTGCCAAAGAGGACTGCGACCTGGTTGTCTGTTCCATACCTGTGCCAGACCCATTTCCTTCATGAGCCTGAGAACTGTAGCCTTTGCAAGTTACTGCCAAGAAATGTTACCAGACAGGGAGTTCAGAAAACTGATTCCAACATAGATGGCATGTGTTTGACCATCTCAGCTGGAAAGCATTCAGCACAGAGTCCTGGCTAGTAAATTATTTTATCTCTATGATTAGTTCCCAGCTCTTCTTGTAGAATATAACTGTGTACCTTTTTTTGAGGAAGCAAAGCAGATGATGAGCCTGATACAAGTTAAGATGTGACAACCAACAAGTCAACATCTCAGGGCAGTTAGCAGACTGTATCAGCTATCAGCTATTATCACGGGAATGGTGAAATGCCACACATAGCTCTCCTTCATCACTTTAGAGTTGTGCACTATTGGAAAAAGCCATCACTTTGGAAAGACAGCACCAGCTAGAGAAAGGGAGGGGGATGTGGAGGGGGGATGTAGAGCAATAGATGTTTGCAAACAGAAAGGAGGTATCCAAAGAGGAAGATAGAAATCAAGCCATAAGCTGGTGTCTCTCTGATGTGAGTTGGAGTTCCATAAGCTAAAGAACCCTTATGAGTTGCTTTTCAGAGTTGCATCTCATCCACATTAGTCTTTTGAACATTGTTAAGAACCTTGTTATGAGCTGGATATGGATGAGCAAATTTAGAGAGAAAGTGCTCTCTATTCCTATTCTATAAACCCACAATTCACAAATACTACTATCCGAAAGAATGGGGGCTAGTATACATTTGCTTTTGCCAGGGCTCTAAAACCTCTCTGTCTAGACAGGGATATATTTAGAAACATAGAAACAGCGCAAGTTAGAAGGGGTCTCCCGGGCCATCTAGTCTGACCCCCAGCTCCAGCCTGCTCCGCTCACGAGATGCCCACCATGTGCATGTCTAGCCTATCCTTGAACAGCCTCACCTATGGGGCCTCAGTGACCTCTCGTGGAAGCCCATTCCACACCCTCAGGGTCCTAACTGTCCAGAAGAGCTTCCTGGCATCTAAATGGAACCTTGGCTCCCTGAGCTTTGCTCCATTGGAGCGCGTCCTGCCTTCCCCTGCAGGGGAGAACAGGTCTCTACCCATCTCCATGTGACATCCCCTCACATACCTGTATGTCATCAACAGATCCCCTCGGAGTCTCTTCTTCTCCAGGCTGAACAGACCCAGTTCCCTCAGTCTCGCCTCATACAGCATCCCCTGCAAACCGGCCACCAACCTTGTGGCCCTACACTGCACTGACTGCAATCTGGCTATATCCTTTCTGTAATGAGGGGCCCAAAACTGAACACAATACTCCAGTTGCGGGCGCACTAGAGTCGTGTAGAGTGGTAGTAATACCTCTCTTGATCTAGAAGCCACACTTCTGGCTATGCAACCAAGAGTGGCGTTCGCCCTCTTGACCACCGCATCACACTGCTGACTCATGTTTAGCCTGCAGTCAACCAGTACCCCGAGGTCTCTTTCACAAGTGCTGCTCTCCAGCCACTTGTCCCCTAACCTGTACTTATGACACCTATTGCTATGCCCCAAGTGCATTTGGGTGCAAGTATTCATATTCTTCAAAGTGGACTACTCACTAGAGGTAGATGGATAATAGAATTTATAGTAACCCATTCTCTTTTCAAAACTCTTTTATTATTTACTCTATTTGCATGGCATGCCAGTCTATTGCAGATGGAATAGTAGACTAAAGGCTTTATGGTCAGCACCGTTTGCCATTTCTTTGCTTCTTTTACTGAATTGACAAACGCCACTCATGTCTTTGTTTTCTTTGTGCATCGCCTTACAGTGTAGATCAGACAGCATTAGGAATGTTTGCATGAAGAAAGGTTGGGGTTTTCTTCCCAGGCTACCATCTGGGTGATCTGTCTAATCCTTCCCCTGATTCCAGTTTATCAATGATAGATGATATTAATTTAAAGGCCAGACACAAGAAGAGGGAAAAGAAGAGGAGGGGATAAATTTAAACATCATTGCCTGCCATACGTGGATGAGTTTTTTGTCGTATCAGAGAGAGAATTGGGAGAGAGATTCAGCCACTTAACTTAATAGCACAGCTGGTAGAACACTAGGGGGTCTGGGTTAAAGCTTTAGCTAGGTTATTATTTTCTGCCTTCACCAAAGCAATTCAGTTTGTGAAGAGAAATGAGCAAACAAATAAACACTAGAGTTAGTATACAATGTTTAAACAGAGAAGATTTTAAAATCTCTAAGAAATGGAGCATAGCTCTTTAGCCACTAAAAACTTGGCACCTTTGAGAGGAAGTAAATTGGCATTAGCAGCCTTTGCAGTGGGAGACAAATTTGTTAAGGTAGTGGGTTGCATGACTGTTATTTCCCCCAAGCCATGGAGAAACGTCTTTTGTTGAACTGGTGTAAAGAAACATGTCAATCATTCTACACAAAATAGCAGACGCAAACATGAAAATAAACGGTTGATATGCCAAACAAAAACTATGTTGCATGTTATTGCGGCCCAGTAAATTTCAGTTGCTTTAGAGGTACCCAGAAATGTCTTCTGGAAGAGCTTGAAGATTATATTACCTAATGAAACTGCTTACCATAATACCTCTTCATTTCTGTGGCTGCTGTGGCAGCAAAGGAAACAACTCAAAAGCAGAGAGATTATTTGTAAAAGTAAATGTGATGAGTCAGGGCATGCATTAAGCTGGACTTCTTCTTGTAGGCATTTATGTCCACCCCATGCTTTTAAAATGCAGTATTTGACATTTTGTGAAGTGGAAGATGATGTGTTATTAGGGGCTAGTTAAGAGAGCACCCTGCATTCACTTTCCACTGCTTCTTTGATTCTGTTCCAATTGATTTTGTAATGCTTCTACCCTTCTATGAAGACAAGTGCTCTGCTAATGCAGATGTTTAAAGAAAGTATTTCGTTAATGGTCTGCTCCATCTACTACAAATATCATTCTGTGTTCCTTATATCCTGAGGAGATAAACGCCTTTTAAAGTTTGAACCCTATCCATCTCCCCTTACATTTAAAAATTACCTTTTGTTCTTTAACAGCTAGTTAAATAATCAAAATGTCCTTCAATATGCACGTTTGATGGATCTTTTGCCTGTAAGCTTTCTGAATATTCCATTTCATTACTGTTGAAGTGATAGTGTTTATTACCAAAATCCCTTCATTCTACAGGTTGTTTTGATTTGAGTAGGTTACTCCATTTATCTACACACCAACCACCAGTATGGTCACTGGAATATCTTTAACAGGTGCATGTCTGATACTGCTAGCCTAGGAAAGTGTGCTGGTGTGCTGACAGGTTTAGTTAGAAAACAAAAGCTGGCACTAAAAGGTGTTAAATATTGCTGTATTTGTTAATGGCTGTGACTCTAGCTGACAAACAAAAATATCTTTTGTATGTCTAAGAAGGTGGTTGTAGATATCATTGCCTCCTCCATCTCCTCTTTTTCTTGATTCAGTTTTCCATTTCTCTCTTGATTTCCTGGTTTATTTTATTTATTTTATTTATTTATATTGTGATTTATATTCTGCCTTTATCCTACAAAGGACTCAAGGCAGCTTACATCATCTCTCCTCCTCCATCTTATCCCCACAACAACCCTGTTGTTTATCTTCTCTTTGCTCTTCATTTCCTTCAACAACTCTGTCTCCCATCTGTAAGTTTCATTCCCTAAAGAGATTAATGATAGGAAAATAAAATTGCATTTCCTCACTGGGACAATTGTGCAAATTCAGCATTTATTAGCACAATTTTTGGAGAAGGAAGCATGAATGTAGAACATAAAGATGTGTTCTCGAGCAATGAAAGACAAACATCAAACAAAATGAAATATAGCAAGAGTGCTTGTCTGAATGCATCTTTATTAGGAGAGTCCTGTCTTTCAGTGTCTTGCATGACTTGGGTCTTAACAGATACTATACACTTCAGAAAAAAAATTTCAGTGCAGATTACCTTCAGTTTTTCTCTCATGGCAAGCTTAATATTGGAGTTCTAAACTAGAAAGGGTAAGAGGTATACAGCTAGGTGAAAGGTACCATAAACTAACTAGTGTTCTGTTTTTTAGCAGAATTTTTTATTTTTTGACATGCCATGTGGGCTTACCTTTCTAGTCCTCTGCCTATTGCTTGGAGTAACAAATACAGCTACTGGCACAGTAATCCTGAGGACTGTATCTAGAATCTCCACTCTTATCATTTTAAAAAGCCTCCTTGGAGAAGCATGCAGAATCTCAGCACCAAGGTCAAACCATTAAAATCAAGCTTCCAAACAGCTTTATTTAAACATTGATTGGATTTAATAGAGATCATATAATGCCTGCTTTGATTGTCATCCACAAAATAAAATTAATAAACTGCTATCACTGAATGCTCTGAGCAATGCAGGCTCATTGTTTTCTTAAAATGCGATCTTTGTAACCAGCTGCTACAATCCGAGCAATTGGGTTGACTCCAGCGATCAGTAAGATGGCAAAAATACTTTCGTGGTATTGCAAAATAACAATATAATTTTTACAGATGCCTAGATCTCGTAACACTAGGCAAAACTCTTTTAATGCTTTTTTTTTCTTTTTTGCCACTTTTACAAAGTTTACAAGATGTACCTTTGTGAAATGTCAGGGTAATTGCAAATTCCATGTTTTCTCGGTGCATTTTCATTTAGGATTAATCAACATTTAAATTATCAAATAAATTATTAAAATTTATGTTTTTTACATTTGGAGTAAAATTCAGACCACATCTTCATTGTTATATTCACACTGATCTTTTAGTTGGAATTGCAGTGTTGAAAATCTTCGTAACTTTAATGGATCAGATCTTATATAACATGAGATACAAGCAAATTAAAATAATTTTAAATGTACTTTTGTAAATAAACATTGGGCTTACTCATGTAGAGATCCTTAATGTGTCCCTCTGTTGCAATTATGTCCTTTTAGGTTTCATATCAGGCATGCAGAGAAACCCCCAATTGTCTCAGTATGCACCTCAGCAAACTGGACCTTCCATGTCACCACATCCTTCACCTGGAGGCCAAATGCATTCTGGAATTGGGAGCTTTCCACAGAGTAATTCAACTAGTACTTACGGAACTCAGATGAGCCAGTATGGGTCACAAGGTAAAATAATTGACACACAAAATGGCCTGGTTTAAATAAATCTTCAATCTGTGTTGTAGGTAATTGCATATTCTGCAGAAAAGTGTATTAACCAGAAAAGTCTGCATACATGCTTTTGATTTTTGTAAATGTCTAACTCTTCTTTTGTGGATGTCCTGCAACCAGTTATTCAAAATGGTTTAATTATTATTTTAAAATTAGAAATATTCTTAAAATAAAAATTTTAGTAGTGGACTTTCCTTGCTTTTTGTTTTGAATGAAGCACAAGAATTCACAATGTATCCACAAGCCAGTACTAATATGTGCTTTTTCTCCCAAATGCAGTCTGTGTTTGGTAGAAGTTTGTTGTGAATAACACATTGATTATATTTGATTATATTCTATCTCAGATTTGGACAGAGAAGTTTCTTTTCATAGTTCTGTTTTTCTGCCCTTTGGAAGTAACTGCCCCCATAAGTTTAATTCCAGACTTAAAAAGGAAAGTTCCAAAGTAATTCTGCCTGCACAATTCTTAGTATTCATTTTTATGAACTAAAATAAAGGTGTTGTTACAAGCAGGGTTGCCATCAACACCAGCATGCTTGGGCAGCTGCTGTGATTCCAGAAAGACTAGTTTTGAAGTTGACACTACCTTATCCTCTCATTGTGCAGCAGGATCTGTGTAGTGCTTAACATTTTCCTTTCCAACCATGTCTTGAAGTCATAACAGCAGGTGACATTCAGCTGCCTACAACAGAGCACAATACTGATACTTGCCTGATAAGAATGCTTATGAATGTATCAGGTGGCGGGCGGGGTAGGACACTTTGCCAGGAGTCCCTCAGATCTGGAGCTAGTTTGTTCCAGCTTAACTGTTCTGTTATTTTCACAAGAGATCATGGAGGAACATGAGCACCAAATGTTCACAAGAATTTTCAGATCCATTACAGTGTGTCCTCCTTGAAAATTGTTCTAAAAGCATGATTTTGGAAGGGAATGTTACATTTAGTTGGCTCTGTATATAGCATATGCCAGGTAGTTTTCTTGTCAGTTCTTATAGTTCTTCACAAGTAACAGCATTCAAATGTCATCAGGTTTTGGGAGGTAGATATAGTTTGTGATGGACCTATTTTCTATGGGTAGGGATTTAGAAAAATAGATAATGCAAGTATTACTTTTGTCTGTCTGTCTGTCTGTCTGTCTGTCTTTCTTTCTTTCTGACATTTACCTCTTGCAGTACCCACAGGCCAGCACTTCTCGGGTCAGAAAATCATTGCTTAGGTCTCTTTGATCATAAAGTCTGCTCATTTCATATATGGGCGTAGCCAGTTGCCAGGCCTTGGGTGAGACATTATTAGTGCATGTTCAGACAGAAAAATATGCTGGGAGTTAATAGGTATGTTTTTTGCCTAAACCTGCATAGGATTGTGCTCTTAGGAACAAGAAGGCTGCATGTATTTAAGAGCTACTGCATGATAAGTGTAAGCTTAGCTGTTAATGGCTGAGTACCAGGAATAAGTAATAATATAGCAGAACTTTCTAAATCTGGCAAGGTTTTCTTGCAGGGCAGTGGGAACAGCTAATGCACTTAGGGAATAGGCCTGGCTTAGATCCATGTGACTATAAAACAATAGCCAATTGAAAGAGGAACTCTATTTTGAAGAAGGTTGCATATTTATTACTAGCACAGATGGTACAGTTCACTATTTGTTCATTGGCCATCTCCCTTTCATTCTGAAAATAAGTATTCTAGTTCTGCAGTTATTCAGCCATTTCTACATCATACATTAGTTCTTTATTCTTGAATGAGTTAAGGTAATGCCAAATGATTTCAGCCAACATGACATAGAAATGGTATGAACAGTCACTGTAACATCAACTTGCATAACAGAAGCAGCATGTTAAGATTGCTCATGAATGAACTCAATCTAGTCTGATACACAGTGAAGGAGCAATGTGTCCAACTCACAACTTTTGTAAGCCACCATTCAAAACCACTTTCAGCAGCTTTTTGATAGAATAGAGAATGAGATTGAGCTGCCAGCTGTATATAATAAGTGGAAAAATTATATTAGTGTGTTGCCATATGCCTAACCTTGCATGTGTGTACTGCACCCTCATTCTCACCAGGCTGACTTATTTGTCTCTAATGACTCCTATAGAAAGTAGCTACTAGTTTGTCCAGGATAAGCTGTCTTGTAGTTATCCTAGACAATATAAGTGAGATGAACCTATATAATTCACAAGAGTGTTCAATTAAAACATAGTGATTCTTGTGAGTACATCTGTAATTGAGGCAGCACTAAGCAGGATAGGAATGCATATTGATATCTATCTAAATGAATAATTAAATGTCTGAATATCCTGAATCTAGTCTTCCGAAATAATGCAGAAAGATATTTCTGCATATTTCTCACTGCCTTCTGAAAAATTTCCTACAATTTGTTAATTTAGAAAAGCCATTTGTTATTTCAGCTTCTGTAGAAATGAAAGTAGAAATGGAGGCAGACCTGGCAAACATAAACTTAATTTCTTGATAAGGCTAATGTAGAGATATATAAAGTTAGTAAAAATGTCAGAGTTGTCACAGTTGGCAAGTTGAAATGACCTGTTTCAGCCAATTATAAGACAAGCAGTGACATCTGGGCTTTTCGGTTAAAGATTTTCAAGTTGTGTTCAGCTCTTTAAATAATAAGAGATAATTTTAATAAAGCATAAAAAGATAATGTTAACACCATAGATTAAAAATCCCAGTCTTTGTACCATATATATTATATCAATCTTCCAGTGCTCTACTGCTTTATCACACTCTAAATCAGAGGTGCACAACTTACAGCCTTCCATATATTTTGGGTTACAAGTTCCATCTTTCCTCACCATTGGCTATGCTGACTAAAGTTAATAGGAAATGTAGACAAAAGTATCTGCAGGGCTACATGTTCCTCACCTCTGATTTAAATGGTCATTCTCAGAATCTGTCAAGAAAGAGAAGGCAGGCAAAGCAATTGAGAGGGAAAAATACAACATGGGTATATTGCCTCATCTTCTAAGAAGAGCCTAGCATTCGGAGGGGAGAAGAAAAGAGAGGCAGGGATTCCTGGAAGGCCTTATCATATATGAGCCTCTTGGCTCACAAAAGTAATCCTACTTAGCTAGGGCTGGTCTGTGCAATAACACATGGTGATTTTCTTTTTAAATATATATTTCTTGCAGCTAATGCCTCTGAACATATACATATACTTTTTCAATGGCAAGGCAAATTACAACCCAAATTGCATGGTATAGAGAACAACTTGTAATCCTCCAGCTAAAAGTGCTGAAGGCTTGATGAGAATGGAATTGAGCAATATCTGGAGTGTCACATGTTGCCCACCCCTGTGTTAGCAGCTTGACTTCTATACTAGGGTTTGGTTCTAAACAGGAAGAATCTGTTACTCTCCAGAAGCATATATGTTCACTCTTGGTACAGCTTACAACCTTGTGGCAAAATTGCCAAAATGCATAATTGGCAACATTCCACTTAAAACATTTAAAAGTCATGTGCTCCATATATTGACCAAAATGCATGCATTGTCTCCACATTAGCAGTGACCAGTCATATGTGGCTCATAAGTGGTCACATGGAAATGATGCACTTATTTGGGCCAACCCTGAGGTAGGAGGCTATTCTGCCTTGTGCTCCTTGGAGGAAAGGCAGGAAGGAAGGAACAAATGCTGCCAGAGTAAGTGGTCCAAAGGGAAGTCCATTTTAGAAGTCTTGGCATGAGACTGTAATGTTTAAATTGGCCCTCAGAGGCATTACTTGAAGGACTATGGCCAGTGATATCAAACTTTCATTTTTGTAGTGTTTCATATTACAGTTTTATTGTCTCACCCTCTATGGATTTGTGTGATTTTCAAGCTTGTCCAAAAGTTTATATCTGAATGAACATAGTTTTCAGTAGAAGTGCATGATATTGGCCAAATCTCACTTAGGTACACTGCAAATTTTTTAGTTGCCATGATTTCTTATTGGCCATACTCCTTTTCTCTCTGGCATGTACTGAAACCCACTGATCTTTTTTCCAACAGTTCCTTACTTGCTTCTCATTAGGTGCATTATATAGCTGTAGTCTGAATTCCTTCAGAATTGTTTGTTTATGTAATTTGTCTTGTTTCTCTTTTTCATATAAAAATAATATATCAGTTGTATTTATTTGGCTAAGAGACCATTTTTGAACATGAGGTAGTTGCAGATTTATTCTCAACTGTTTTTTTCCTAGTGTTCATTTGTATCTTGCATGTTCAGTGCATAGATCAAAAGTATTTTATTTCATTTAGAAATTGCATTTCTTCTTTGTAAGTCCTAGAGTGAACTATAGTCTATACAGACTCAATTCTAGATAAATTAATTGTATTGGTTAAAAAAAAAGCTTTCTTGGGCTTCTTGGGAAAAAACAGTATATAAATTTAACAAATGAATGAATGCTGTGGTAAAATTGCTTCACCTCTCCTTCGTAGCCTAGTTCAAGCATCTTATTTTCAGATTCTTCGTCGTGGCCTCTGTGCATCACACATATGGGGTACTGCACCTGCGCAGTGCCTGTGGCCGGAAGATTGACAGCTAACGGTTTTTGGCGGGAAGCTCCGTTCCCCCTCCCCCTGTGGCCTATAAAGAGCAGAGCGTCCGCCATTTTGTTCAGTCTTTGCAACCGCCATTCGCTGTGCCTCATGCCGCTTTCGACTTTCGCTTAGAGCTGTTACCTTGGTCTCGATTGTCCTTCTTCCCAGTTTTTTCTTCTCCTTGCTCCCAGTTCATTGTTCCTCGTAGTTTTTCTCTTGTTATTTCTACTTTCGATCTATCTGAATACACACACACACACACACACTTACCCTCTGCACTATCCCTCTCTTCTTCTTCTTCTTCTGTGATGGCGCAGTGAGCAGCTTTCCGCAAATGTGCAGACTGCGGGTCAAAAATGGCACCAACGAAAACCGCCTCCGGAGACTCCTTTGGGATCAGGCTCTGATGCAATCAGACC